TCTTGGTGACAAACCACTTCTGCCTCCCTCACCAGTCTTGAAGCTTGGGGAAACCGAGGCAATAGGTTTGGCAGGCAGAGTCAGGCCTGTGCTCTCCATCCTCCTGGCCTTTTTCCTGGCCCATAGTTTTGGCTCTGCCAACCCTAGGTGGGGCAGGAGCTTCAAGGGAGTGTCCTCAATATGGGGACTCCTCAGAGCAGGAGGAAGCAACCAGCGGGTTGACTTTTCTCCCATGACTTTCTTTTTTCTTTCTTTCTCTTTGTTGTTGCTCTTCTGGTTTTTTGAGTCAGGGTCTTGCTACGTAGTTCAGGCTGGCCTCAAACTTGAGGCCATCCTCCTGCCTTGACCTCCCAAGTACTGAGATTACAGGTGTGCTCCACCACACCCGGCTTTTCCTATGACTCCACTTCCGAGCAAGGGGGATACAGAATTGGAGATGCCTGAGTGTGTGTGTCTTTGGGAGACCGGGCCAAGGTGGCCTGGGGTGTGGAAGTGTCCAGAAGCAGAGTTGCCACAGGTGACTTTCACTGTGGGCAAGAAGGGTAAATTCAGAGCCAAAGCAAAGCAGGAAGCGGGTGGGGCTGCTCCCCAAGCAGCAGGCAGAGCAGGGCCAAGAGGCGGGCCTGCCTCCTGTCCAAAGATGGGACAGTAGAGCAGAAATTCAGGGAAAAAGGAGCTAACCCGGTTACCAGGAAAAACAGCTGGAAGGCAGGGGAGTGTTTTCTGAGGCTGTAAGGAACCTCAGTCTTCAGAGAATTTAAAGAGGAAAAATATTGGGCTTGACAGCCTCTCTCCAAGGCAGGGTGGTGGTGAATCACTCTCCTCTGAGGAAATCCCTGGAATCCTCTCCCTGGGCTCCTGCCTCTCCCGGGTCATCTGGGGTGAGTGGAAGGGCCCAGGGTTCGAAGGCTGCAGACCCAGCTCTCAGTCCTGTCTCTGCTTTCTAAAGCACAGTGACCTCAGGCCGGCCACCCAAGGCCCTGGGCCCTGGTTTCTTACAGGAAAGGAGGATAAACCATGTATGCCTCAGTTTTCTTACCTTCAGATTGGGGATGCTAACGATATCATGTTTCCCTGAATTGAAGATGTTATCCATTGTATGACACACCCGTTATTTTCTGCACATTTAGAGGGGGAAAAAAGCCATCAGGTAAACTGTAACATACCATCAATTATAAAACACAGCAGGGCCTGGTGGTGCATGCCTGTAATCCTAGCACTTGGGAGGTTGAGGCAGGAAGATTGCTGCAAGTTCAAGGCCAGCCTGAGCTGCATAGTGAGACTGTCTCAAAAAAGAAGAGAAGAGAAGCACACATTCTGACTTCAGAGGTGTTAAAATGTGTCTCAGAATCAGTGAATTCCAATCCTTATCTTACAAGCTGATTCCAAGACATAAACGAGATTAACATGAACAAGCCCTCAATAAATGTCAGGTACTTTTATGGTTCAGGGTGCAGAGCGACAGCCAGGGTCCGAAGCCCATCCCGCCCTGCTGGCAGGGTGCCACCCCCAGACTTCAACCCTCAGGGGGGATATAGGCAGAGCCCATTGGAGGCAGCCACAAGAGAACAAAGGGTCCCCCAGTCTGCGCCCCGGAAGTTGACCTAATCTCCAGGATGAATGTGTTTTCATTTCTCAGAAGTTCCTGTTAAACTGTGCCAAAGTGTTTTTCCTTTACAATCCAGGCAAACAAAGTGGGTTTACTTTGGGCAACCTTCTGGCCACCACCCCAGGCCTGCCTGCTCATGTAAACAGCCGGGTGCCTGCGCCCTCCTGGAGGCCCCGGCAGGAGCTTGGCAAGCCCGTGCCAAGCCCCTCGCCACCCTTCTTCCTGCACCAGGCCTCATTCTGGGGAGGGCTCATGTGAGCGATCCCTGGGCAGAAGAGGACCCCATGGGGCCTCAGCACCTCCCCATCGTATAGCTGTGGAAACAGTCGGAGAAGGGCAGGAACCGCCAGAGGTCGCCAACCTATGCACGCACACAGGCACGCACGCACATGCCATTCCCTGCTCAAGGCTCAACTAGCAGCTGCCTCTCTCGACCTGACCTTCAGGGTCTGGGACAGGCAGGAAGCTTCTCTCTACCCTTTTCTTCCTGTGTGTCCCTGGCTGGCACCGCCTCTGGCTGTCTTGTGCTCCACAGCTGGGACAGCTGCGCCTACCAGCAACCAGGGGCTCCGGAGCCCTCAGCAGCAGGGGCAGCAGCAGGATTTGGGGGTATGAGGTGGGCCCAATCCCTTCAGATGTGGAGAAGAGGCAGGGTGGGGGGGTCTGGGCGGAGGCAGGACCAGGCCCACTGACAGACCGGAAGGAAGCAAATTCTCTGTGTTGGGTCCAAACTCAGACTTCAGACTGCTGTGTATTTGCAAGTCCTGGGAAATGGCTGAGACCTGAGACAGGGCTGGGGGTGCAGCTCTGCGGTGAAGCCCCTGCCTGACATGCACAAGGCCCTGGGTTTGCTCCCAGGTACAAGCACTGCCCTGCTGTCCAGCCTCAGCTCAGCGTGCCCATCAGCACTGCACTGTGTAGGGCACCGAGCATCACATTCATCCTATCTCCATAAAGCCTCCTCTCTTCTCCTTGCTGTTCCCTCTGCCTGGCACACTTTTCCCACTGTTTTACCCCTTACATGACCCCCAAGTCACATTCTCAGCTCACATGTGACCCGTTCCGAGAAATCTTCCCTCCCCACGCAGCCACGTCACACCATTTTTTTCTTCATGGTCCTTATCAGGATCTGAAATTGTCTTCTTAAAATACCTCACCCTCCTTTCCTCTCCTTGCCCTCTCCTCTACTTTCTATCTGGGACTTAAATTCTTCATCTCCAAGACCCCTAGGCCTGGTCTAGGGACTAGGCATAGTAGCAGCTCGATAATATTTGTAGGAAATGTGAATAAATCCCATGGCATCCTAGCTCTGACTGACTTTGGTGTCCCCTTCACTCGGAAAAGAAAATGATCACGCTGTTCCTCATACCAGGCTGTGCCCTGCCTGTTCCCGCTCCCCACCACCCCTTCCCCCTCCAGACTTCTCCTGGGAGATCCTGCCCCTCCGACTCCACAGGGGAGGCCGGAACCAGAATGTTCCCCCAGGATTATTTTCAATGGTTTCCTGGGGTGTTCACCTGGGTAAGAATAAGGAAAGACAGGACACTCTAATCCTACTTATCTAAAACTATATAATCTTCCCCAATCACTTAAATGGTACCTGTGTCTCTAATTACAGAGCAAGCTGAGGGGAACACAGGCACCATTTCCAGCCAACCTCAGGCAGAGGGACACTTTAGCCCCTCCTGGGGACCAAGGAGTCCAGCTCAGGAGCCAGGACTCCAGACACCTGCTGCCACCAGCTCCCTGATGACCGGCGGGCTTGGTGGCCCAGCCAGAGCCCACTCGGCTTTCCCTATGCAGGACCAGCAGGATGGTCCCCAGCTAACCAGGTGTGACACCTTTGAGGAAAATGCCCAAAGTAACCCCGGGGCCCTAATTTGACCCAGCACAATCCTTAGGAGCAAACTGATTTCCCTTTGATCCAGCCTAACTCTCCAGTCACACTGCAGGTGGATGGTCCCCAGGGCTGAGGCTGCCATCCCAGCCAACTCTGCGGGAGGCCTGGGAGCCAAGAGCCACGTGATGGCCTGGAGGCCCAGAACTCCACTGCCCAGAACCCTGTCAACTGGGTCATGAGGTGGGAAAAGGCCACCCGCCCACCCCAGGCTGGCAAACATCGCTGTCTCGGATCAGCATGAGCCCTTCTCCCATTTGGCATGGGCAGCCAATTCAGCAACGCCCATGGCTTAGCTGCAATGACATCTCTATGTCTTAAAGGCCTTTTGGCTCCCGAGCTAATTACCCAAACAAGGAGGACACGCTTAATCCCATTAATGACTCTTGCGCAGCAAAGAGCAAACCCAGCCCTGGAAGGAGGGCCCGTCTGAATCCTTCCATTTGTTCAGGTGCTGCGGGACTGTTTATCAGCCCTTTCAAGAGATTAAGTCGTGCGCAGGAGCAGGGCCACTTAGGTAATGGATCCCAGCGGACCTGCGGTATCAGGTGACCCTGTAGCCTGCAGCCGGCTCCAAACTTCGCAGTGGATGCACCGACTTCCTGCTCTTAGACTGGCTGAGAAGGGGGCACCCACCTCATCCCTTGCTGCTCACGAAGGGACGCTGGGGACAGTCTTGGCCAGGACTCGCACAGTCCAGTGGAGTCACGAAAGGACTGTATCACGAAACCAGAAGCAATGGAAGGACAGACACGATGTCCCTGGAGTCCACCGGGGTGATAACTGCCCAGGAAGTCCCCAGGAAGGCTTCCAGGAGTAAGGATGAGAGTCGAGAGTTAGGAAGCTCAAAGTCTCCCCACCTCGGGAAAGCCTGCTGAGGCGGCTGTGAAATCATGTTCCCTCCCGGTAGGTAGCATCAGGCCCCCAAAAAAGGAAATAATTCAGCTCCCCCGTCAATCCAGGGATGAGGTTGTGGCTGGGAAAGATTTTACAAGATACCAATGTTCCAGGATGATTTTATTACTGAGGATTGAACCCAGAGTCTTTGCAGTGAGCTATATCCTTAGCCTTTTTTTCTTTTCTTTTTTCTTTTTTCAGTACCGTGGATCAAACTCCAGACCTTGTGCTTGCGAGGCAGGCAGCAGCACCACTGAGCTAAATCCCTGGCCCTTTTATTTTTTATTTTGATACAAGGTCTCTCTAAGTCATTAAATTGCCCAAGCTGGAATCGAACTTTCTATCCCCCTGCCTCAGCCTCCCAGAATGCTGGGATTACGTGTGAGCCACCATCCCCGGCTCCAGGCATTTTATATTTTATATTTAAATTTCTTCCTTGAGGGTTCAGAAAACAGAGACTGGCATGGAAGGCTCGGTAGCAAATGTCTCTTTAAAAGGGGAGGGACGATCCCTCAAACCACGCCCCTCCTCATTAATATTGAGCGATCGTGAATATTGATGTGGGGGCGTGGCGCCTCCGCCAGCTGGGCTCTCCTACCCGGGGTTCCCAGTTTCCCAGAGAAAAGTGACAGAAACCCTGCAGAGCGAGAGCAGCGACCGCTGAGAGGCCGGCAGCCGCCCAGGCTCCCACCCGGCCCGGGGGCTCCTCCAGCCTCAGCCCCACCCCCGGGCTCCCCATGGAAGCCAGCTGTGCCCCGGGAGGAGTCGGAGGAGGAGTCGGCTGAATGCCCGCGGTGCGCCCGGAGCCCCCGCGCCCAGCCCGCCGCGCGCCGCTGCCCTGAGGCCCTGCGCCCCGACCCCGGCCTGCGGGAGCCCCGCGCTGGGCTCGGAGGGGTCCCCAGCTCAGGCCGCGATGGACGCCGTCCTGGAGCCCTTCCCGGCCGACAGGCTGTTCCCCGGCTCCAGCTTCCTGGACTTGGGGGACCTGAACGAGTCGGATTTCCTCAACAATGCGGTAAGAAGAGGGGTCCCCTCCCCGATTGCACAGCTCAGCACCCCTCTGCGCGGCGCGCCTGGGACCTTAGAAGAACCGGGATCTTGGCACAAGAGCGGGGTTGAGGGGGCTCAGTGCGGGATCTCCGCTGGGGGACACGTGCTCAGTGCTCGGAGATCTGGCGACTCGATCCCGGGACACTTCCCTGCGTCCCAGAGCCGGGACCCGGGGCTAGGAGCTTGAGCCTGGGCGCGCTGCTCCGGGGCGCAGTCCTTGCAGACGTCGGCCCCAGCCTCGGAGGGCAGCCTCCGACATCCCTCAGGGGACACCAGTTTTGCCCCCCGCACGCGCCTTTGAGCCAAACCCCTGCCCACCCAGCGGTTCTGGGCCCAAATGGGGCGCAAAGTGGCGGGGCCCTTTCCTGCGCCCCCTTTAGGGCCGCGGTGTCGGGGCGATGGATCTCCACTGGGGGGCGCACAGGGGAGAGTTCCGAGCGCCAGAGACCCGAGGATCTGGGGGTCAGAGCCAGCCCCGGGTTCTGAGCCAGGCTCAGAAACTTAGGGGTGCTGCCCTGGAAGCCCCAGAAAATGAGCCTAGAAACCTCCGAGGGTGGGACCCTCGCCTCGGGGTCAGGGCAGCACGGTGGGGGGCTCGCTCCAGAGGGAGGCCTGGCTCTCCTCTCTGGGTCTGTAGGTCATTCTACCTTCTGTGTCTTGGTCCCTCCTGTCTCTGCTGACTTTTCTCTCCCTGTGGCTTCATGACTGTCCCTGTCTATGGCTTGTCTTTCTCCTTGTTCTCTCTCTTCCCTTCCCTCCCTAAGGAAACGTGGCTCTCTCTCCTTCTGTCCTCCCTCCCTCTCAGGCTCAGCCCTAAGTCCTTGGTTGGGGGAGGGGTGTGGGCTCAGCGAAGGAGGAAATATCTGGGTTCAGAAGGATCTGTCTGCTGGGAAGCCAAGAAATGTGGGCTGCTGGAGAATCTAAGGGGAGCACCTCCATGCCTTGAGCCACGAGTTGCACCCCCACACACTCACACACATACTCCATGGGCAAGCACACCAGGGTTTCACTTGCTGGAACTAACAAAAAGTTAGTCGACCAAAAGCCAAGTCCTTGGGGACATGGGCATCTTGTACTTCCACCTGCACTGTCCCAGGAGGCTAGATTGACACAGGCCTGCAATCCAAGGGACAGAGGTCTCCCCATTCTCCCTTTGGCATCACATCTATGTCACCGGCTCTTTGAGGGAGCCCTTTGGTCCCAGACAGATGGACAGACCAGGGGGACAAGGAAAGAGAGGGGGCCTGCACGGCAGCTGAGAGACCTGGGGTGGTCTTGGCTCTGCATCCATGTGCTTGGGCTACGCCTCCAGCTCTGCTCCTCCAGCCTCAGTTTCTTTGTCTGCAAAATGGGGCAAGGTTAGATCAAGTCTTTCTAAGGATGTTTGGGGCACAGGATAAAGCAGCAGGATTCTGCGGATGATCCACACAGCCCCCTTGGAGCTGGTGAAAGATTCTGGACAGAAGGAAAAAGAGTTGCTGGAGCTCAGACCCTCTAAGTCAAAGGGGGCAGCAGAACTCCCTGCGAGCTCCCGTTGGCTCCTGGCAGCTCCAAGCTGCACTTTCTTCTGAATGAACTCTGTGCCCACCTGCCCGAAGCTCTTCCTGCTGGTCCATTCAGCCCTGCATCCCCAGCTGCTCCTCTGGGCCCTGGTCCAGCGCAGGAAAGGAGCCCTGACCACACAGTGGTGTCCAGCGCTGGGACACAGGGAGGGGCAGCCGTGCTGGGGATCCCCCTACTGTCCCATCTGGACAAGGGGGTGAGGCAGGAGAGAGCAGGTCCTTAAGGGCAGTGGAGAAAGATCCCCTGGGCTAGAAATCCAGAAATTTGGCTCTGGATATGTTTCTGCCACCAACCATTCAGTGATTTTTCTTCTGGCCTTGGTTTCCTCATCTGAAAAATGGGGCTATCAGAACCTTCCCTTTAGCATTATTGGAGAGATTTGATGAGGAAATCAAGTAAAGATTAACGTAGCAGAAGGCCTGGTATGTAATGGGCCATAGCTGACTTGTCCGGCAGCTGGATGGGGCATAATGAGAACCAAGTGGCCAGGAGCAGCTGTGGGAACGTGAGTGAGTCATGGTCCTCCTCAGGGCTTCCATTCTTCCAAGTCTAAGGTCCCTTCCTGTAGCAGCTGTACCCCAAATCATCTTCATTCTGCATGAGAGTGGGAAAAGATTTCCCGAGGTGAGGATGAGAAGGCACCATGTCTGTCTGGAAGATGGAGAGTTGTGTATTCGCTGTCCTTACATATCCAGCTACCGGCCATGAAGCCATGTGGGAAACCTGTGTGCTCTGACGCTCTAAAAGCAAAAATCAATATGCATGCTTACCCTGAAGGCGGCTCCACCAGAAACATGACACCTGGACAGGCACCCAGCACGCGAGGTCAAGCAGGCATGTCTGCAGGTGGCTCTGGTGCCTTGATTTTCCTTCTGTGGGCCCTTCATATTGCTTCGATCTGTCATGGGATTCCTGGGGGCACCTCAGAAGGGGATACCCTTCCTGCCAGATGGGGGGCTTCTCCCTGCTCCTCCAAATTCTCCCACCCTTCCTGATGCAGCTGCCTCCCAGCCCTCTGCCACTGTACCCTGCATTCCCCTTGGTGTGCATGAGAGAGGGTCCAGGCTCAGGGAGTGGAGAGACAGTGGATGCCAGCTCTAGATGGAAACACTGGGTCTATGCGTGCTTTACCTCCTTCCTCTGGCTAAGGGGAAAGGATGACTGATTCCTTTAGAGGGAAATGGCTCAGGATCCCAGAGGAGCCCCAGCTGGGAGGGTGTGGGGAAGAGGAGGAGGAGGAAGCTTGCTGTTGTCTCAGAGGGGAGCAGCAGGAAACCGCTTAAGGATGTTTGCCCCATGGACTCATTCACCTCCCAGCAGCTGGGGAGGCCAGGTGTGGGAAGGACAGACCCAGGGTCCACCCAGGGGAAGTCATCTGCAGGCTAAGGCTGATCTCCGCTCCCCAATCCCCAGCCCAGCTCCTCTCCAGTTAACCAGTTAACCGGGAAAGCAGAGCCACCCCCGCTCCCAGCCTTTGGAGGATTTAGGGAGATTAGAGAAGTATGTGTGTTTGGACGAGACTATGTGGGTGGGCTTTTTACAGCCCTCGAAAGAGGGGATGTGCATATCTGTGTGTTTTCTTTAAATTGTCACGAAAGAGGACAGAAGGGCCAAGGCACTCTGTTCTCAGCACAGGATGCAGTAGAAAAGACTGAATGAAGAAAAACTAACTCATGGAGAAATCTCAGAGCTCCACATAGAAAGGAAGACTTCCTCAGACACCTACTCCTCCACAAAACCCCAAGTTGCAGAATTAGTTTTGGTTTTGCTTCCCCCACTATGGAGGAAATGAGTTTCTTGCAGAGGGGCCTTCTCTGTCTCGGTCACTACTCTGTCCTCAGTGCCTAGCTCGGTGCTTGGCCCAGAGCAGGGCTCAGCCAAGCCCTGATGGTTGAATGAATGAATGAATGAACAGATGAATGAGGTTCATTTGAGGGAGGAGGGGAAGGATCGAGTGCTGGAGCCCATCTGTTCCCACCCATCAGGATCTTGCAGCCCACCTGGTCTTCTAGCCACTTACATTCAAACCAGAGGCACAGAGCTGGGAGGGCTTGGGACAGATGCCATGGTGGGTGTCCTGCGCCAAGATAGAGGTCACGATCAAGGTCATGATCATTGTTAAGTCTCCTCAAGTGAGACCCTCTGTTACTTTCTGTTTCAGTTCTTTAATTTTTTTTAAATCTCCCTAATCCCAAATCATAGTTATCTTATTGGTTTATTATCTTTTTCCTCCATGAGCAAGTTCCATAAAAACAGACCAGTTTTGTGCAGTGCCCTAAACCTAGCACGGTATTGTGGCGCAAAGGAGATGCTGGATCTGGTAAAGCTACACCATTGGGGTCTACGATTTCCCGATTATGTAAAAGGTGGAGCTATGTTTTTGTAGGGCCTAGGAAGAGCGGCGCGTTTTGGGTGTCTGTGCTATCATCAAAGGCACAAGAGCAAGAGGGGAAGCTTCCCACAGGCCACAGGCCCAACTCAGGAACCTCCAAGAGCCTGGGAAGCCACAGTTCTCCCAGCCCCACAAAGCCTGGAGGCTTGAGATGGGGCCTGGGCACAGGACAGGAGCTGTTTGATCACATGGTAGAGAACTTTGTGCTATGTAAGGATTTACTGTATTTACAAAGAAAGCTGCTTTATGTCGGGGCCGCCCCTATATGGAAGGGAAGCGACAACATCAAAACAGACCCGGGCGTTCGAGAAGTGTATTGACAATTCCAGAAGGGCCTGGGTCCTCATCCTCAGGGGCCTGGCCTGGCCAGTGTGGAGGGTGGTGAGGATGCTGGGTCCCCCAGAAATGCTGTCTGCTCCCCAATCTATTATGAGCTTCCCCCCGCACCCCCAGCCTCCCTGGACCAGCTGCGGATCCACTTGCTTAACATTAATGCAAACATCCATTCCTTCAAGCCTGGGTACAGAAGGGATACCTTCACAGGTGCCAGGGTTACTTGGATAGGAAGACATCTGGCCCTCCAGCGACTAATGTAGAAAATTGAGGGACTGAGCGGGGAAGACACCAGAGAGACTATGGTGGGTGTCATAGTAGAACAAATGGGGCCCCCATGAGGAGTCTGAGCCAAGCTAGGGGTCATGGTTGAGTCACAGTCATGGCCAAGTTTTCTCTGAAGTGACCCCCCCCCATGAATCCCCTCCCTAGTGGCACAGGGGTTATTGGAGGCCATCTCAGCAGGTGAGACTGAGTGGTATCATCACGCAGACGAGGGAACTGAAACTCAGAGAGGAGTGGACATGCTGCTTCTCTCCAAGGACAGGGGTCCAATGTAGGGAGTCAAAGAGAGGAGAGAGAAACAGCTAGAAGCCAGTTCTCTCCCATCTTATTCTTTGTGTTTGTCCATTTGTTTTGTTTTTGTTTTTAGAGACAGAGTCTCACTATGTCATCCA